ATCTGTTTGTAGTGCCATCTACACAAAAAACCATGGCTAGGGATCAAAATAGCTTTTAAACAGATTTTCAATCTTCAAATAAATTTTTTTCTTTTTTTATAGATTTTTTTCTTTCAAATGAAGTGGTAACACTCTGAAAGTGTTGTTTGAACAGCTACGCATGGTTCATTACCATAACAAATCTGCGCAAATAGATTTAGTGAGGGTGGTTAGCGCTCGCAAAATTTTTTACTCCCTGGTTAGGGGTTTGCCAGAAGGGGTAAACAAAGAGAGTCACGGGGAATTTGAAAAAAAGAAAAATACTCAGTTTTGAAGGAGAAGAAATATCACAGTTTTATTGCAAATTCCTCATGAATTAGTAAGATAAGAGTTCCGATTGGTGACTTTTGGAAACCTTCGCATCTTTGAAAGGCAATTATGGCCCATACCATATACCTACCGTAATCCTACAGTACACTGCCAGCGTAAAGGCGAACAAGCGCACCCAAGTGACCTTAATGCGGATTCTTCACAGTTACTAAAATGACCATTAAATGATAGGCTGAGAAGTATTCCTGTAGAATTTGAAAAAGCCGTCGTTGGCTCTTACCGTATACCTACCGTACCCCTACAGTATACCATGGGCCGCAAAAAGAGAGCAGTGTGTTCACTGATTCAAAAAAATGATTATGTACACCAGATGGTCTTATCGCAAATTTTCACAATTACTCAAATATCGATTGATTGATACTTATCGTACTCCTACAGTATACCATGGACCACAAAAAGCGAGCAATCAATGCGCTCACTGATTAAGGTTATTCTTAAGCGTTGTGTTCACTGACTGAAAAAAATTGAATATGCGCACCGAATGGTCTTGTCGCAATTTTTTCACAATTACTCAAATATCGATTAATTGATACTTACCGTACCCGTACAGTATACCATCGACCGGAAAAAGCGAGCAATCAATGTGCTCACTGATTAACTGTTAGCCTTAAGCGTTTCCAAATGAGTTTCCTTTCAATTTTCAGCTAAAATTTTTAAACAATATTTTCCTATTTTTCTATTTTTAGGCTTACAAGTCGTGCTGAATGCCATCCTTCGAGCCATGATACCTCTGTTACACATCGCATTATTAGTATTATTTGTAATTTTGATCTACGCCATCATCGGGATAGAATTATTCTGTGGCAAGCTGCATTCCACCTGGTTAGCAAAAATTAATTTTCCAGAGTGATCCGCCTAAAAAATATTTTTGATTTAGTGTTGATCCAGCTACGGGTCAGCTAGCACAAAAAGATCCTACACCATGTGGAAATGAAGGCTCTGCATTTCATTGTGTTCCATCGGATGCATTGACAAATATGGGTGTAAAATGGGAATGTTCAGCGAATACCACTTGGCCAGGTAAATTTTCTTAGGCACTTACTCATTTTTGAGAATTTTTCTGCATTTTCCCCGTTCTAAGAAGGAAAAAAAGGAGTTTGATTCCAATCCACTTCCTATTCAATATGGAGCTATCCAATCGAGTTTATAATGGTAAATTTGTTGCGAGAGACTAGAAAAGCAAGATGTGCAAGGAGTTTTTGCAAATTTATATTTCCTGAAAATTACATGATTTCCAAATTTTTCCCAGTTGCATAATTTTCGCAGATTTCTATAACTGATGCTATCTTATGACTGTTATTGATGCACCATTCATTTTATTATTATCACTTACATAATT